AGTTGATTTTTCATTGTTGTATTAAAAAACATGTTATAGAATGTATAAAACAGTATCAAAGCAAAACAAGTTCAAGCATTAAGTAGTAAGTACAGAAGTATTAATTATACAAAAAACACGTTGAACCAACTCGATGTGTCTATAAAATGTTCCAAATGTGTTGACAATGACACGAGCCCATGACATATATCATTGCCAATTATATATGACATGGGCTCGCATCAGTGGGCACTTTTAAGTGGGTATACTGAAATTCCCAAGCTTTTCTAGTGGGTACGCTCCATATACGTGCATATCGCATAGACTACACAGCTATGTACTCGTCTTCATGAACGTCTTAATATCACAGTACCCGATTCCACTACAGCAGAGTGACAGTCATGTCTCAGTTCAGCAGTCAGGTGGTAGAGGAGGAGCAGTGTCAGCTGTGTGGAGGTACGGTATGTCAAAGTGAACAATGGTGACAACAGTAAAGCAAACAGCAAATCATGCTCCAAAACACTGTTAAGAGATGAATTAATGCACTTTCAACACAAGCGATTTTACCAAACATCTAATATACAAACGCAACTTTGCGTTGCGAGTTTGCTAATAGTAGGGTGTGGAACACACTCTCTCTAGCTGGCAGTTAATGAGGACCTTCTGGCACAGAGGAGTGTGGTCGATGATGTGGCAGTCTAACAGAAAATAGTTGGAAATTTGAAACTTTCTGCCTTAGCTTATTTCCTCCTCAAAGATTCTCGGAGCAGCTCAACCAGCCAATTAAAAGACTCCACCAGGGTGTGCAAACTTGATGGAATAGCAGGTTCTACTTGCTGAAGTGTCTCATCGGACAGAAAATGGCTATTGGAAAATATTAGTCTGAGCAGAAGCTTCCTAACCGTCTCACCACCCACCAATGGGTGCTTTCAGAAAAAAGGCTTCTGTAGGCCTCGCTCCATTTGAGGAGTAAACACAAAAAGTAAGCTTATCTGATTTTCAAAAGACATTTTTTAGTATTAATAAATGGACTGTGCTTATATAGCACCTTTTTATCCAACCTGGATACGCAAAACGCTTTATAACACAATCTGTGCCCTCATTTCTCTCCACACACATACATTCATACAGCACCCTACATCTCTACAAAGATAACTGAACAAATCATTGTACAGAGACTAATCAGTGCTTTAAGTCACATTCATACAATGATGGGACACATCAGAGGCAATGAGAGGTTCAGTGTCTTGCCCAGGGACACTTCGACATGTGACTGCTGGGGGAATCAAACCTCAAACTCTCTCATTGGAGGACGACTGCTCTAACCACTCAGCCACAGTTGCTTTTATAGTTTTTGTACTGGGTACTCACCATTGGCAAGTACTAAATGTAAAGAATTTGAATTCCTTGTGCTGAGTCTTGGCTACTCTTTGAAGCAGTTGCTGCCTTGACTCATCTAGTTACGTTTGTGCCAAGATGGGGTCGAGGTAGGGCAGCCGACTGGGGACCAGAAAGTCTTGGTTCGACTCCCAGCCATTCCCATATGTCGTGGTATCTCTGAGCAAGACACCTAATCCCTAATTGCTTCCCGGGTGCTTACATAGCTGCCCACTGCTCCACCTGGGTGTATCCCAGGTGCGATGGGTTGAATTCAGAGAACAAGTTTCGCCATTGCATGGGAACATACAATGATGACAATCTCAGACTTCTTTTTCCAATCAGTGGCCTGCAGTCTGCTGTCATGAAATCATGACTCGCCTGGACACAGTGAAGTCGGTCACAAGAAACGGACTGGGAGTAGGTGGGATCACCCAATGAAAGCCTCTGGGTCGACCAGAGTAGGGCTGAGTTGAGCTCACAGGAAGTGTCATTTACAGTACAGCCATGCAGATGCTTTAGCTGCTGGGATACTCACTCTCTCTGTCTTGAGTCTCACTTTCTGCATCTCTTTGGGTTTTGTAAACGGCCACAAAAGGAACGTCAGGCCCTGAAAAGAAAACCGAAAGTCAAAACATTCAACTTTCTTCACATTATGAGCTGAAGCTAAAAGCTGCAGCTGTAACAAGTGTAATGTTTCTATATTTAGTGTTTGTTTGGAGGAAAAGCAATATTACTATTCACTGTATAATGGACACGGAAAGGAAAGTACAGCAGCTCTGCTGTGTGCTAAATCTTTGCTTATTTGATTTATGTAATTCAATAGTTGGAACAGCTTTTCTATATTTAGGCCCCAAACAGAAGCAAAGCCCTGAAACTGCAGAAGAGGAACAATAAATGAAGTGATGGATGCACTTAGCAAATTGAGAACAGAAACACTAAGTCTGTATTTTATGGGCTAGTCATTTGTTCCATTTTTATTTTATTATTTTTTTACTTCCTTTTCCTTCCCCTCTGGTCTCATCATAATCATATCACAGCCTCATCACACGAGACCACAGCCAGGCTGTGAGGGAGATAACTGGATTAAAAATACACGAGGAACAAGATCACTGAGGGTCAGCAGGGTGGGTTTCATCTCATTATGAGGGTTTTTTGTTGGTCTGCAATTGAATTCAGATTTTGAGTCACACAAGAACTGGACATGTGATTAAAAATTGAAGCTACTGTCTTCAAATCTTCAAACATAACAACACTGCTTTGACATTCTAATATTTCTCTGATCTTGAAAAGCTTTTTCTCCTTGTTCTTCTGGCCTTTTCCTGCCCTACATAGAGATACAGATCAAAGGTTTAAAGGGATCCACCACACATTTTGGCACAAAATCACAAATGCTGCAAAAAGTTACACAGTAACTTTTGAAAGTGCATTAATCAAAGCTAGGACCATGACCATTAGACATTTCATTTAATAAAATAAAAATCAGTAATGTGATGAACATCTTTAACAGCTGAACACTTTTAAAAGAAATGTTAAAAATAATGTTGTAATTGACAATATTTCAAAGTGAGGAAAACAATGAAACAATAATAAGAAATTAGCATTCTTTTAACTAATGCATTTTGCATGCCGAGTTTGTGAACAGTGATGCCACGTGATGAGTCTCAGCTACTACCACCGTAAGTTTTAGCACAATATCTATAAAACAGACAGGTTTCTCTAAAGAGCATCCAAATCTGAGTTCACGGTCCTCAGTTGGAAAAGGGTGGATTGCTGTCAAGGGTGAGGTTCTGCCTCAAGGGGACGAGTTCAGTGGTGTAGTCTACATTTTTGTAGTGTGTATACAGCACGTAGAAACCAAAGTACACTGGTTAGTACAAAGTAATCGTCAATTTATTTTGATTTTTAAGCATATTAAACATCTCCAAATTTCTCTGATGCTTATATTTGAATAAATAAACAACAAACTTTGTAGAACAGTTGGCTTTGTATAAAAAATATTATAGAATTTATAAAACAGTATAAAAGCAAAGCGCTGCATACCGATAGATGGTTATGGAAGCGTTTAACTGCCGTTTAACACTTCAATGACACGTGCCTGATGATATGTCATGTATCAATGGGCACTTTTAAGTGGGGATACTGAAAATCTTAAACATATCTAGTGAGTATACTCTGTATGCCCAAGTATCATGTAGACTATACCCCTGGAGGAGTTCAAGTATCTCGGGGTTTTGTTCATGAGTGAGGGAAGAATGGAGCGTGAGATTGACAGACGGATTGGTGCAGCGTCTGCAGTATTGCGGACTCTGTACTGGACCGTTGTGGTGAAAAGGGAGCTGAGCTGTAAGACAACGCTCTCTGTTTACTGGTCAGTCTACGTTCCCACACTCACCTATGGTCACGAGCTCTGGATAGTGACCGAAAAAATGAGATTGCGGATACAGGTATAGCTGAATTGAGTTTACTTTGCAGGGTAGCTGGACTCTCCCTTAGAGATAGGGTGAGAAGTTCAGTTATCAGGAGAGACTCGGAGTAGAACCACTGCTCCTCCACACTGAGTGAGCCAGTGGAGGTGGTTCAGGCATCTGGTAAGGATGCTTCCTGGGCACTTCCCTAGGGAGGTGCTTCAGGCATGTTCACCTGGGAGGAGACCCTGGGGAAGACCCAGGACACACTGGAGAAACTATATCTCTCAGTTGCCCTGGAAACATCTTGGAGTCCTCCCAGAAGAACTGGAAGAGGTGGATGTAGAAAGAGGTGTCTGGGCCTCCCTGCTCAAGCTGCTGCCCTCGCGACCCGACTTCGGAACAAGCGGAAGATGATGGATGTATGGACAGACAGACTTAGAGCCATGTTTGTGTTTGCTCCAAGTGAATATCTTTGACACCCGTCTTCGATTAGGGTGACGGCAAAAATGAATCAGCTGATGAACATCCACAACGTTCTGAAATTTGAAATCTGTCCAGTTCATACAATATGTTGCCAACACACGTTGATCTAAAGTTACTAAGCAAAGATCCTGTGCAATGTGTTAGTTCTTTGAACATTGTATGTGTTGGCGATGACTTTCAGCTTTCACACCACGACTTTGCTCATTCGTACATCTCAGTTCTAATCCTTATTAAACTGGCTCCAACTTCCTCATCCAGTTAAGAGATCAGCTTTGAAAAAAAAGCCCTTTAGTCTTGAACCCACTGCAGTGCATGCCTCCAAAATAGGGAATTGCTTTACACACCATATGTTGCAATAACTCTTAATGGGTTACACCTAAGACAAATGGTAATTTATTGTGTATTTAAGCCAAACAGATGGTTAAAGAAACATGAGTTACTGCTCACCCTGGCAGCTGAGCAGAAAGTAGCTCATGTTGTGGCTGAAGGAGCCGCTGATGTAGCCACAGCTGTCAGACAGGGCGCACGACAGGCAGCGGTGGTTGAACGATCCGAACGTGTCGGCACTGGGGAAGCAAAGACTGTTTAACATTTTCAAGAAAATGATGTCAAACTGTGAATATAAGAGCCGTTACCTGTACAGATGTCTCCGTTTTGGGTCATCCTCAGTGCTCAAGAAGTAGCTGTGAAAAACAAAAGAAGAGCATAAATGACAAATGAAACAAACAAGAGACACATGGGAGCTGCAAACGTTTTTATATTTTATTGTTTGTGAGTTGAAAATAAGAGCACCTAGAGCACATCTGGTCACTAAAATAGATGCTTCGTGAATGAATGATGGTGAAGAGAGAGGGGGTAAATCTCTTTCAAGATGAAGTGGGCCACGTCCTTCCCCCATGAGGTAAATTTAGTTTTGTGTGAAACTTTTTCAAACTGGTTTGTCTCTGAACAAGGGAGCGTTCAGCCAGAGTCAGGGTTTCTTTACTGTGACTTGTGTACTCAGGGTCCCAGTTACATCCAACAATAAAATGAAAATGAAAAACTGTAATAAGATCTAAAGATATGAACTAAGAAAAACATCAACTAAAAACACGCTGAACCCTAATGGCATAAAAACAATACGCCGAACAGCAGCACGAACATGAGTCTGTGTGAGCAGATGAGCACAAATGAACACAGCAACATGAAATAGATCAGCAGAAACATGAAACAGATCAGCAGCAACATGAAACAGATCAGCAGCAACATGATGTGATTTTTCACAGTGATTATTCTGGTTAGAGATTCATGAGTCTAACAGCCTCAGGGTAGAAGCTGTTCCTCAGTCTAGTGGTTCTACACTTAATGCTCCTCAACCTCCTTCGTGAGGGGAGCGGGGCATAAAGTGTGTGTGCTGGGTGAGTGGGGTCCTTCATGATGCAGGTGGCCCTCTTCCTCTAAAGGTGTAGATGTCTGTGATGGCGGGATACATGTCTATGTTTGTGTGGAACCTCAGTCAGAAAATATGAAAGAATAATTTTCTGTGACTGGATGGTGGGTTTTATCGTCTTGCAGTCAGTTCTCACATCAGTTGGCTGTCCTCGTTGTAGGCCAGGACCTGAGTGACGTCCCAGTCTCCGAACGTGATGGTCTGCAGTGTGTCTGTACTGGTGTTGGGCTTTGAAAGGGAAGAGGAAATTAGACAAATAAATAAATAAATAAAATCAAAGTGTAGCCATTTTGAATGACAGTTACATGTTAAAAAGTGCACATGCGTCAAGTTTGTACAAAGTACCTCAAGATAACATTTTATGACCCTATATGTTAAGAATGTTTAAGACTTTTTAAAACCAAGATGTAACTAGTGCCCTAATTAAGTTTTCATTAGAATCAAATTTGGAATAAAGCTGAGAAAATCTTTTTAACACAATTCATCATTTAAAGCAGCTTCAGATATTATTTTCACCAATTATCTCCAAAACTGCTGAATCACATTTTAATAAGATTCTGTTGTCAGGATTTTTTACAATCAAAATTACCTTTTTTTTTCAATCTAAACTGAAGTTGCCTTTCATATTTAAAACATTTGAATCCAAAATGGTACTAGACAGTTAAATAATAATGGAAAATTCTTAAGTTATTGCTGACAATGAATGTATACACAAAATAGTTTTTTTTCCCCAACAAAATCAATTGAGGTGAAATCTTTTCAGGCAGCCACCTATTATTATCCACCTGACAAGAGTTTCTTAATTTTAAATCTTACTTTTCTGTCAACTTTAATGCAGCCCGAACCACAATTTAAACCCCCACAACTCAAATCAAAATGACCGGCTTGCATTGTGATGTGCACTTTTACTTATGTTGGCATTTCAAGTTACCATGGTGACATAATTTTAAACAAATATGCCTTTTTTCCTCATTAAAAAACACTGACACAAGTCTGAACAGCTTCTAACTGTCACAGTGAGGTCACATGACCTGAGTGGAGAGGTCCCTGAAGACAACACTTTAACCTTTGGAGCCATTTTAGAACAAGATGGATGCCACAGCTACCTCAGAAAGATCAAAATTGTTTAGGACTCAATCATTCAAACATGACTATAACTCACAGATTTTTTTTTTCATATTGAGCTGAAATTTGGTATGGTGATATCTGAGAGCAAACCCCAACACTTAGTGCTGACAAATCAAAAATTTAAAATGGCCGCAACGGGCCCATTAAGGTTTCTCCAGGAACTTTCTTGTTAGACATTATCAGCTGCTTTGATGCTGTTTTTTCCAGCAGGTTTCAGGTGAAAATTAAAACCTAACTAAAGTGAACCTTTTTGACATGGACATGGTCTAACCTGGGAGATAGACATGGAGATGTGGAAGAACTTGCCCCGGCCTCCCTGAGGAATGGCCCGGGTAAAGAAAAGCTTCAGACCATCTTTGGAAAACAAAGGTTCCTCGTTCTGAAGACAAAAAGAGCAGTGGTCAGATATCTTACAGAGGAAATGGCAAACAAAAGACCAAATGATGAAAAAACCTTCAACGACGATTTGAAAACGCTATAAGTATGCAAACCGTCACTCAGTTATGGTTTACAAAACAGCAAACGAAAAGCTCGAAGCACTCATGAGCAGTTCAGAAATGATGCTTGAAAATACATTTAGTCAGCAAGAACTTTGGGAAGATCAATCTAATGGCTCTAATTAAAACATGTTAAGAATTTAGGCAGGTAATTACTCAAAGCCCTCATGAAACGCTGCAAACATGTGAAACAAGCGTGCTGTTTGAGCTCACCTGCCTGTAGAGCCACCCTTCACTTTCATCTTCATGTTTCTGTAAGAGCAGATTGCCACGTTTCAGCCGACTCACAGAAACAGCCTCCGGCACAAACAGCACTTTTCACACACACACTGGACTGTACCTTGGTGCAGAGGCCCGTCGTGGCCTCACACAGCGTGAGCATGGAGATGTTCTGGGCTCTGTTCAACCAGTTAATGGCCAGTTTGGTGGTGGTGGCCCACTTCACCATCGTCACATAGTAATCTCTGCAAAACACAGAAAACAAATAACAAGCTCCATAAAGCACTGACCAAACAGAGGCACGTCACTAAATGGGAAAAGGAACATTAAATAAAACATATCACTGAAAATATCCTGATGCTGCTCAATAATCCAGGTAGAAAAATCCAAAAAAGTTCAGTCTGGTCCTCTGGACATTCAAAAAACAAAACAAAGCAAAAAAATATAGAAACGTTTCGTGTCTCATCCGAGAGACTTCCTCAGTCTGAGGAGCTGTGTTCAGCTAAAATGACTGAAAATCACAGAAAATAGACAATTTCTTTTTTTATTTGTATTAAAAAAAAATGCAGGCTGTGTTGATTCATAAACAGTGCCACATGGATAAATATTTTATAAAAAATGTGTTTGAATATTTAAACTTGTCGGTGCTTGGTTCTCATCGAAAGACGTGTTTAGGTAAAGCACTGAACTATTTGACAGTTTAAGAATAATCATCATCATCATCATGAAATATTTAACTGATGCAAAACTAGCCCTAAAATACTAATTATTTTCTACAGTTTGGTAAAGAGTTGGAAACTAATTGTACACTGTCACTTCCTGCTTGCTCTCGTTGAAGACGTCCTCCCACTCCTGCCTCCCTCCTGCTTCTGCTCTCTTGTCCTGTGAATCTTTCTCAGAGCCTCTCGCTACATATCCTCCGAATTATAAATTATGGATCTGGTCGGCTGGTCTCTCAACACAACTGATAAAATTTTCTCTACGAGAAGACAGGGCACAGGAGAGCCCTCATGCCCTGAAAGGACACTTGCAGCTGGATACACTCTGGATTCCTGGGGACAGTGGAAGATGGTGTGTCTGTCCGTATTGTCCATTGAGGATGAAGAAGAATTGGCCATCTCAAATCTCCCCTGGAGGTTGTGTGAACAATAAGCCCCCCCACACACACACACACACCCCCGCCCCTTCCTGAGGACATACGTGGACCTATATCAGAGCTGAGCTGGCTGATAGACACTGTGCCATATCTTATCAGGACTGTGGAATTTTCTGGTGGTGTCCACGGACAACTCACCACCTTTGTCGACCTCCTCATGCATAAATGTATTATGATGTCATTAGTTGTTGCTGTTTATGTGCGAGGTCTTTTGTTGCAACTTTCACACTGTGCCCTGGCCAGGAAATAGTGCGAGATACATTTTTTTTTACCTCCCTTTCCCTCATGTTTCTCTTTTCCTTATCTACTTTTGTCTGTTTGCAACAGGTCTCTTGTAAATGAGTCCTTGAGGCTCAATGGGAACTAACATGTATAAATAAAGTTTGAATGAATGAAAAAACATGTTAGACCTTCAATACATATATATATATTGAAGTTCATATATATATATATATATATATATATATATATATATATATA